ATGATGATGATGATGATGATGATGATGATGATGATGATGATGATGATGAAACGAATGGTTTGTTGGCAAAACTGGGGCGGGGTGGTCTACTTCTACGTGAAACGTTTTGGGTTAAACCCTACATGTACAGTTCACCTACAGGGTATAAAAGCCCATGACAAACTTATTTGGCTCAAGACATAAACAAGGTGTGTCTGCTGATTTATTGGGTTAAGAGCCTTGGAAGCTCGCGCCATAGTCCAAATCCTTGCGGAAGGGGCAACAGCGCTATCAGTGACGCATACCGGAGGTGCACTGTTTGCTAGCTGAAAAGCTACTCCAAAAGGTCAGCAAAATTAAGCGTCCAAGGGGTGAAAGAGGTGGCCAGAAAGTCAAAGCTCAGAAAAGCCTTCGGGCGAGGACTGAACGGGGTGAGTATCAACCAAAGAAAGACTTTCCACAAGTACCTCAATACGGTTCTCAACTCCGAGAACTTCCTCATCCTGCAAGCGCTGAAGTAGAGCCGCGGGAACTCCCAAGTAGCTCGGCATCAGGATCTCAAGTGAAGCCCGCCTCAAACGAGCAAGCTTTCACTGAATCCAGGCCCGAACAAGTTGCAGAACCTTCGTCGTCGGCGAGGTTGATCACCAGTAGCCATCGCTCTCCTCATCCAGGTGAACTCTCACGTGACACTCGGGGTGAGCCTTTGAGGCCCAGAGTTGGGCCATCAAATCTGACCAGAGGGCCGCCACCTTCTCGCGTGTTGATCGTGACCGATTTGCACGGTGTCTTGGACTGCGCTGAATTCCTAAAGTACAGTCGTGACGGGAAGCGAGAGGAAACATCTGGTGAGATCCCATTGATCAACAAACAGGCAATTGTCAAGCTCTTGAATCTCGGACATCACCAAGTGGCAGTTCTTTCTTACATTGGTGCGGACTCATACCGCTTGAGATCCCAGGCAGTGGCATCAATAAGAGATTTGAACCAATTTGTCACAACGCAAGGGTGTTCGAAACAAGTCGGGCTTCACTTTTGCGACAACCCTTCCCAAAAAGCTGGGATTGTGAGCCGGTTGAAAACTGCTGCTTTTGTGGACGACAAGTTGAGGACCTGTCGTGAAACTATTGCTGCATCCCAGGGAACAGACGTCTATTTTGAAGCAGAACATCGCCCAAAAGATCGGAATTTGTATCACGTGAGATCCTTTGCGGAGTTTGCCGACTACATTGAGCAATCCCGCTTCCTTCCGGTTGCAGATTCTCCATCTTGGGCAGAGCAGTTTCCCATCCCTTGATCAAATCGCGTCTTGCAAAAGCTTGGCAGATTTTGATTTCAGTTGGGATAAGTTCTTTGGGTGGTTTTGCGGTTGATGGTTTCATCTTCTAGTCCTGAGTTTTCATTGAGTTCATCTGTTGATGGGGTGCCAGCCATTTTGAGTTCACGGGCTCCTAGTCGCAGTTCATCATCTTCAGGGACCCCCAAAAAGGGAAAGGTTCGTAAGCCTAGTCCTTATCCTTCCACAAAGGGCGCACCAGCGCAAAGCGCGGGCGTCCCCTCTGGGCGGATAGGGAGTGTTGTAGAGGGTCGGCTCAGTTGGAAAGAAATGATGGAACGCAAAGAAGTGCTTGAAATGGGAGATGGGAACCCATTAGCAGGGATGGAAGTTTGTGAGCGTTTGGAAAGCCTGGAGCCTAGTGCAATGCCATCTGGTTCGGGGCTTAGTGAGAGTCCTGGGCAAGGAGCTCAGGATTGCCGGCAAGTTCATCATCACCAAACCTTTCAGAATTTTCAGGATGATCGACAGATCCACCAAACTGTAAACCAGTATGTTGCCCCCCCATCATTGGAACCCTCTGTGATGGCCCAAGCGGCTGAAGCTGTAACGGGGGCTAGAACCGAAGCAGCGCATGCGATTTTGGAAGCAAGAGCCCACGTGCTAGAAAACAATGCGCAATTTCAATCCCAAGTCAACCAACTGAAGGCTCAGCTGACTGCCAGGGATGCTGCCTTAAGTCTGGCTGCTGAAAGAGAGAAGTTTTTGAACTCAAGGTTGGAAGAATGCATGACAGAAATAGATCGATTGAGGAGTGCCCTTGTGAGTCAACCAGGTCAAAATGCTGCGGGAGATTTGACAGTCCAGTTTGAACATAGGATCAAACTAATTGAAGAGGGATTGACATCATTGAAGAACGTGTTTCTCACGTCTTGGAACTCTAGGTTGGAATCCTCAGAGCAAAACATTTCGAGGTTGAACTCTAGATTTGACAAACTTGTTGGAGACATTTTGGAGGACAGGGATATGTTTCAGAACCTTCATGCTGAAGTGCAAACCCTGAAGCAAGACTTTTGGTGGGAACAGGGTGTTTGTGAAACATCTCCTCAAAAAGGGGGGTTCCAGACGCCAAACGGAACTACACCCAAAGGAGTTGAGGAGTTTCGTTTGTTCCATGATGCGGAAGGTCATGCAGAGGAGGTCAAAGATCAGGATCAAGCGTCCAACGCTCACAGTAAGGCCAGTGGAAGCGGAGATGATCTTGAATCTGCCATTCTACGTGTTAAGGATTTGCATTACTTCAAGGTACCTACCCTTCCTAGTGATGCAGGTGCTTTCAGGCAATGGAAGAACTCTTTGAGGACTCTACTGATGAGTTATGATCGTTCATCTGATGGATCCCTCATGCGCTGGCTTTCCGACACTATCAATGCCCGATCAGCAACAGAGAAACATGCTCTACAGTCGTCTTCTGGGGATTTTCCACGTTTTGACAGGGTCTTAGCCGCTGCACTATGTAAACCAGAGCATCTTAGATCTCACTTTGGTGTTCGGTTCAACTCATATTTGGAGGAGTGTGAATTGAATGGTCATGAGGTTCGGGGTCGGGTTATGTTGAACCTGGTTTATCGTGAGTTCGACACTGATCAAAACGCAGGTGCCATCATGACTGCGTTGGAACTGTACAACCTTCCCCCTCCGCAAGACAATGTCGCTTCCCTTCGACAATGGAGGGACAAGGTGAATTACGTACGCAACCAGATAGGTCCTGCTGATCGTCCAGAACCTAGACTCCTAGCCAAGTGGTTGTATGACCGTGTCAAGAAGCATCCACTCATGCGCAGGCATGTTGACAAGGTGCGCGACGCTCATCCTGGGTCGGAATGTTTGACTTTCGATTGGTTATGGGGAAAGTTGGAGCAGTGTCTCCATGAGTCTCAGCAGGAAGCCAACGCGCTCAGCATTCAGGAGGCTCTGAGGAAAGGTCCTTCCAAAAAGCCCCATTCAGTTCAGGAATCGTCTGGGTTGCCTGCCTCTAAAGGTGGAAAGGATGGTAAAGGAAAGGGCAAACCAGGGAAAGGTGACAAGGACGGAAAGGGCAAATCAAAGCAAACTTCAAAGCCGACCGTGGCTAAAACCCCCGAGTTGACTGCAACACAGAAAGCTGAAATGCCTTGCATTTACTTTGCCCAAGGTAAGTGTTTCCGCGAGAAATGCCCGTTCAAACATGATCCCAATGCCAAATCAAAGCCTGCCCCCAAGACTACCAACCCCAAGCCCAAGCCTTCCCCCACCAGACCTGGTATGGTGGCTTTGTTGGCTGCTTCAATCACTGCTGCCACAGCTACCACTCTTCCGGCTCCATCTCACAACCATTTTTTGGAATTTGTTGGCGATACAGGTGCTGGGGAATGGCTGGGAAGTTCCAAGGCT